ATGGAAAAATCCGGATACATATGCAGGATATATACCAGATGTTGTCCACTTGATTTGCATGTGCTACTAGGTCTTAAAAGCCGGCACGTCGCCCCTTTTGATTACGGCAAATGTGTCGTCTACATATCTGGCCCGGAATTCTGGGGGTTGAGACCTTAATACCAACCGCAGTAGCCTCTGCAAAACGGCTTCGGCAATTAGCCCAGACAGAGGCGAGCCCATCGTAGGCTTGGCTATTGAATGTGAAGTAAATCTGAATACACAGTTCCGGGAGCTCGATAATATGCAACCGCTTCAGTTTTTGTTCAGTCTCGTCATATTTTTCGCGGAGAAGGCAGTCGATAGTGTCGATGGTCAGACCGGGTGGAATAGATGTGAACAACGCGACCACGTCGAACGACCCCATTGCCTCGTCTGCCTCCACTTCCAGGTGTTGGATGTGGGTCAAAAACTCGTTAGCAGACTTCGCTCTCCTCTCTGGATCCTTTGTAAGGAAACGCAGTCGTTGGTAGAGCCACTTCTACAACCCAAAGATTGGGGTGCTTCGTAAGGATACGATGAGGCGTAAGGGCACTCCTGGCTTGTGCACCTAGGATATGCTGTAGAATCGCGCCATCGCAATATCGGTGGCCTTTGCAGCTATTTACTATGCATATATACCTACTTTTTCGCTTAACATAATCCTAAACCCAAGTATAACCCTTACACCAACACTAACCCTAAGACACAGGCCTGGGGCTAAGCGTACATAGGGTGCGCTACCAATAATACCTCTGCCACACGTGGAATAGATTTCACTGAGGGATTTTTGATTTCATCCAGATACTTGGAAGCGTAGCGCTGGCGCCAAGCCTGAAAAGCGCACATGGCTTCGCTATTCTACCTCCTTCTGGGCCAGTCAATCACAGGTGCCGCGGACTTCTAGTGGCCAAGCAGTTGAACAAGCTTCCAGTGGCTCACTCTCGCATGACGTTTATTCACTTACACCCACAGTAAACTAGCAGACAGAAGCGCGCGCGCAGGGCCAGGGGCCTGCCGCGCGTCTGGGATTCAGACTGCCGTTGAGTTCCTGTACATAAGAAACAACTCCTACTGGTCTTATACCTCTTCTTCTTGTACGGAACTGGGTGTGATAATTGTATTGTTCTGAGCACACTCACGGCTTAAACTCCTACAGAAGCATTGCGGCCTGACCACCCCCCCCCAGTCCTGACCAGGTTAATCAGTCTGCTGACAGCCGCAGTTTTCAGTGAGGTGAATTTATTCTAGTGTGTAACGCACTTATTAGCCGCACGAATGGATTCCCCGGACTCAACCTCACTGTCTCATTCCTGTACCAGGGGCCAGTTGGAGGTCGTCAGTCCGTCGGCGATCAAATTAGGCCGTGGTTGGCGTGGCGGGGCGTTGCTAGCGCGCGCAAACCATGATTTGCGACAGCGTGCAACCTTTAACAAAGTAGACAACGCATCAGGTGTGAGACGAAATTAAATCACATGCTACTCCCCGCACACTCGGTTTGTTGTTCTCTTTAACCTAATCAGCGCGTGATGGGGATCGAACCTTCGTTCAACTGGTGCTGTAGAGCATAAAATCAGCCCATGTTCAGCTAGTATCCAGAATGTAGGTCAGGGTTTAGGCTGAGCAGGAGTCCAGTGATAAAGGCTGCACTTTACAGCCTGCCTAAATGTCTCACTGTCACTGAAGGGCGCTAGAGGATGCCAGAAAGACCATCAAATAAGTTGCGAATCCGATAAACACAGAGACAACTATTGTCTTTTTGGTATGTTGTTAAGGTTTCACTTACTCTTTGAGCCGAACCAAGTGAAACATTAAAAACAGTTTGCGGACATATTTTCAAATGAAAGGGGTTAGCTCAGGTGGTAAGAGCGTTGGCTTCCGGTGAAGGCCTTCTCTATGCGGGTTCAAATCCTGCCGAACACTTCACAATTTCGTATAAACCGAAAGGCAGGCATCCCAAGAAATTTAATTTCATGGAAA